GTGTGTGTGTGTGAGAGAGAAAAGCTTTAATATATATGGGTCCATTAGCGCTGTGTGAACAAAAAGCAACATTTTAAAAATGTTAAGTGTTTACACAACATTTACATATGCAGTAATGTCACTGTAGTAGTTGTCTGCAAGTTCACACTTGTTCTTTTCAGTTGTTCAGCAGAGAGGCCGCAGGGTGCCTCTGTTGTTGAAGTTTGAAAGTGCTTCAGCAGAGAGCCAATGAGATAACAGAATTTGATTCCCTCTGTGTAGTTCCTGAATGTCAAAGCATTGTACCAAATCAAATCATACTAAACATTTGTGGGCTCTGAGTTCACTTTTTGATGCCTTGTAATTTTTTCGCATAATGGAGCAATAAAGTTGTGTAAAAGACACATTAGATTAACTAGATTGATCTGAAATTGTCAAGTCTTACTGTAGTTAACTATGTAGTTCTTTATGTGTCGAGAGAGTGAGTCAGTTGGAGTCACTTGTGCTAACAAACCTCATCAAATTATAAACAACAGACTTTTCTGGATACATTATGTGACTACTGAAGTTGCTACCTGACGTGTTTTTGTAAGCAAAGTTATAGGTCGTTTTACTGTACTGCAGGACTGTTTAGCTAACTTCAAAATGGCTGGCTGCCAAAAATAGCACATGTAAGCGGAGCTTCTATTTACAGTCAGTGTATATTTGTGACAAACTCCAGTAGCACATACAGAGTCGTATATCTGTGGTTGTTTCCAAAGGGCTATAAGGTTGTAACTTGTAACTGTACTTTTTTTTTTTTTGTCTTTACCCAGAATGCCCTTTGACCCCAGATACCCCCAACAGTGAGGCCAGAATGTGCACCAGCAGCAGCCGCCTGGCCGCCCTGAAAAGACAAAATGACATCGAGCTCAAAGTTAAACAGGGTGCCGAGAACATGATTCTGATGTACTCCAACGGGCCCTCCAAGGTAGGATTCAGCGGGAGAGGGGGAGGGTTCACCTGACATTCAGGTTTGTGCTGGTTCATGTTAAGCTGCCAAGTGCATAAAGTCAGGCACATCGGTTGTGCTGTATTTAATGGATAGTTCCAGTTTTATACAGACTGGGTTTCTCTCTTCTGTAGTTTGGGCCATCAATTAGGCAACAAATACAAGCAGTCAGACAATCATAGGTTTGAAACATTGAAATGTCAGCTGAGCTTATTTGCATTAAAAAAAATGAGGGTAAAAAGAGTTTTTTCCTCCCAAAAAAGATTGGTAGTTGATGGTATAGATTAGTGTTTAAAAACCTTTTTGGCTTGTGAGCACTTAAAACAAAGCTATGTCGACTAGTGACCCCTCGTCAATTAGATCTCCATGTGACCAGCTCAACAAAAATATCAAAGATTAAGAGAGTCTAAAAAACTACTTTCCTGTTCTGTTAATCATCTCCTGACCTGTTAGATTAGGTTGGGAACAACAGTTTTAGATCAAGTGTTGTCTTGTTCACAAACTGCTTAAATATACACTGGTTATACACTGGTTATACACTGGTACTACACTGTAGTGATCCCCATCATCAGATATACAGTCATCTCTGACATTCTGATAAATTGGAATTACATGACACATGATCTGGCTGTATTCAACAGCTTAAAGGTGAGCCTGCCTTACTTGAACTTTAGCTTGAATTTATTTCATTTGCCTCAGTCAGATTTGTTTTTTCTTACTTAATCTTACTTCTTCACTTACTGACTTTAAAGCTGGCTGTCTCTTGTCTTGCACATGTGGTCTTTCTGCAAAGCACCACAGAGAACAACCTGTACATCAGGTTGTAAAGAATTTCCAGTCTTATTATCATCAGTGCTCATTTTTTATTTTTAAAACTTAACACAAGAACCTGTTTTTAGAACGGTACAATGGTCATAACCGCATTAAACTGGAGTTAGTGGTCTCGTTCCCAGTTTGCAAACCAGTCTGCAGATGGTAGAATGATACATGTTTGCTTTTACAGCTTCACTGTAGGGGGGGAACATGAGAAGGCGCTGACACATACTGTGTGTCATATGCACCGCTGTTTGTTCACAAAGCTCTTACAGTCCTTGTGGCTCCTCTAATGCTCAGAGGGACAAAAACTATAATTTAGTTGGTAGGTGTGTGTAAGTCACCAGGACTAATAACAGCAGAGAGAACCGCTCATGCTCATCGTGGCTCCTGTGTCCGTCAGTAGTAATTGAAGCCACTTTGTAGTAGACTGTTCGTATAGTGTGAGGTTTCAGTAGTGTCATCTCTACTTTGCCGGTGATATACTTCTGCCTTCATGATATGTTTCTGTGCGTATGTCAGTTGTTATTTAATGTAGCATGGATTGATACTACTCTCATATCTGTACACTAAATATGAAGCTACAGCGTAAAGATTGGAGACACAGGGAAGCTGCTGGTCTGGCTCTGTCCAATGGTAACAGAATTGGCCTACCAGCACCTCACTAATTAACGTGTTATATCTTATATATGTTTGTTTGAGAAATTGGAAGGATAAAAACATCAAGTTGTTTTAGGAGTGTCATGTCCAAGAAATTGTCCCGCACATAAATATATAAAAGTTTGCCTTGACTTTATTAAAATTAAATAATTTGCCTTGAACTTATTGAGTTAATGGCATGTCTAAGTTTAAAGTAGGCCTGACATGGGTCCTTCAGTTTTACCCAACAAGATGCAAAAGTGTTCAAGTAAGTGTGGTTTTGAAACAAAGGGTCCTTGCAGAGCCTTAGTGTGTAACTTAAGTACAGTAGACAGGACTAAAAACTGCCACATGACCCCCACTGTCTGTCTGACAGGGGAGGTCACAGTGTTTTGTAAGCAATCTCCCCAAGGTCAGACGGACAGAGGCTCTTTCCAGTTGGAAATAGTCCTGTCCTGATGTCAGAGAGGAAATGCTTGCTGGACAGAGGTCTTTCCTGCGCGCGGCGCCATCGACAACCAGGATTTAAACGTCAGAGGAATTCTGGGTGGAGTTTGCTTACTCCACTCTGTCTGTGTGTGTGTGTGTGTGTGTGTGTTTGCACGCATTAGAGGGTCAGCAATTACAACACACAATGAGATTCCACCTTCTATTTTGATGAATAAGATTTTCCATGTGGTCACTCGTTCTTCAGCTCCAATTAAGGGCATGAACTGGCGTCCCTGCTGTTTGTGTTGGATTCTCACAACAACAAAACACAATAAGTGTGGAAAGATGGTGTGCGGTTGGGGTCTTCTGTAAAGTCCTGACATCCAGTTATTTTACTCGAAAGACAAAACATTAAAACCTCTGATTCAGACATTAATGTTTATTAATCTATATCAAAGTATGTTGATATAGCGGTATTTCCCCAGAAAAAGACAGTGATTGCTTCGTTTCTTATTTTGTTTATAGGATCGTAAGTTGCTAGCGACGGCCCAGCAGATGCTTCAGGACAGCAAGACGAAGATCGAGTTCATCAGGATGCAGATCCTTAAGGCCAGTCAGGCCAGCGAGCTGAGCTTCGAGAACAATGACGTGATGGGTGAGACTTGGCTTGCATTCAGTGATCGATTTTAGAATTAGTTAATGTGACACAAGTGACATACATAGTAAAATAAACAATTATGTCTAAATAAAAAAATCATGTCCTTCCTTGTCTCGCAGACAAGCCCATCATCAGCCCGTTGGACCTGCGGGTGGAGGAGCTTTGTCACCACGCCAAGATAGAGTCCGCTGTGGCCGAGGGAGCCAAGAATGTCATGAAACTCCTTGGATCGGGAAAAGTCACAGAAAAAAGAGCACATTTAGAGGTAGATGTTTGTGTTTGCATGTGTGTGACTTTATATCCATGTAAAATTCACATCTTCTATCCCATACGTATACAAAGATCACTTTTGATCTGATGCAGTTTTGTGGGCCTTAAATGAAACGGATCCCTGCACTGCTGTGCTCTACCAAAGTAAAATGGACCGTGTAATTGATGTTTCTCTCTCTTTCCATCCTTCTCCAACTCATTTTCACCTCCATTTCTTTTAATCCCACCCTCCTTTGCTTCCTCTGTACTTTCTTCCCTCCTTCCTCCCTCTCTCTCTCTCTCCAGGCCCAGGCTCGTTTTAATGAGTCCAGTCAAAAGCTCGACCTCCTGCGATATTCCTTGGAGCAACGCCTCAGTGAGTTACCTAAAAACCACCCTCGCAGCAGCAGCATCGTGGAAGAGTTGTCCCTGCTGTCCTCACCGGCCCTCAGTCCCAGATCCAGCATTATCTCCACACAGAACCAGTACAGCACCGTGACTAAGCCCGCCGCCCTTACAGGTAACTGGACACACGCAAATATGATTATTGATAGCACATTGATTATTAGAGATGATTTACACTCTGATATCCCAGCATCATTATATTTTTCTTAACCACCAAAGAATAAAAATTTAATTATTTAAGTATAGTTATTAGAACATGCTGTGTGTATTAGACTCTGCAGGTAGAGCAAACATTAGCAAACGCAAGCATAAAACGAGTTCACTGTCAAACCTGAATTAGACTAGTCTAACAGAAAACCAAAGCCTGGTCTAACTCTATAAACATCCTAATATCTTCTTCTGAAACAGGCCAATAGTAAATAAAGTATATTCAAATACATAGACCAGTTATAATGTGGAAAAATGGGATAACTGAACAACTTGGAACAAGACGGATTGTGTCATGTGTGCATCGTCCCACCTCACTTTCAGGCACGTTAGACGTCAGGCTCATGGGCTGTCAGGACCTTCTGGAAAATGTCCCCGGTCGTTCCAAAGCTGCATCTGTACCGCTGCCCGGCTGGAGCCCCAGCGAGACACGCTCCTCCTTCATTAGCCGAGCAAACCGAAACCGTGGTGTGAGCTCACGGAACTTGACCAAGAGCGAGGAGCTCTCCAGTAAGTAGACCTGACTTCATACACTGTCTACACTGGAAACAAATAAAGACTGATAAAAACACTGAAAACGAATTGTGCGATTACATTAGTTACTACAATAGTTTCCCTAAAGTTACCAATCAATCACAGCTGGACCATGATGCATCTGAAAAATTTCCCAACAAAATTACCTTGTCTGTAATACCAACCGAATTACAGTCCAAATCAGGGCATTGTTAGTTCATCAGTTCTTAACAAATACCGTGTGTGTTTCCTCAGATGAGATCAGTGCAGTTTTGAAGCTGGACAACACGGTAGTCGGCCAGACAAGCTGGAGGACGGTTAGCAACCAGGCCTGGGACCAGAAGTTTACATTGGAGCTGGACCGGGTAACACACACACACACACACACACACACACACACACGTTTGTGCCCTTGACCTACATCTGTGCTGTTGACTCAGTGCTGTGTTTGGACAACACAGTCGGTGTGTTTCACATCTGTTTGTTGTGTATGTGTGTGTGTTTGGTGGGTGTCTGGCTCTGTCCTGCAGTCTCGTGAGCTGGAGATCTCGGTGTATTGGCGTGATTGGCGTTCGCTCTGCGCTGTTAAGTTTCTGCGACTGGAGGACTTCCTTGACAACCAGCGTCATGGGATGTGTCTGTACCTAGAGCCACAGGGGATGCTGTTTGCTGAGGTATGCACACACACACACACACACAGACACACTGACAATTATTGAGTGTCACTGGACATTGAAACAGCTGGTGGTAGCTGTAATGGACAGCTATTAGAACATACAATAAGAGCCTGAAAACCGTTGAAATGTGCATGTACACACTGACTTCAATTTCTGTTTTCTCTGTCTCTTGTTTAGGTTACGTTTTTCAATCCTGTCATTGAGAGACGACCAAAGCTGCAAAGACAAAAGAAGATTTTCTCGAAGCAGCAAGGTAAGTCAACATTACCTCACACTTAAGTGCACCTTATAGCTCACCTGGTTGAGCTGGTGCCCCATGTACCAAGGCTACCCCCACCACAAAAAAATAAAATAAATTATAAACATTACCTCACACTTGTTCAATGTGTACTATTGTGATTCTCAGACAGGCATCATAGAAATATACATTTGTTAAAACAGGATAGTGTGTCTGATGTTCATTGAATGCTGTATTTATCTTTCTAGGTTGCTTAAGAAAAGGAGAGATTATTTTGTAATAATAGAAGTATTCCGTGTTATTTTTCGTGTCCTTGACAAACATCATCACCTCTTTGCTCTTCTTCCTCTCCTCTTCTTCTTGTCTCTTCTGCCTGTTTGTCATCAGGTAAGACCTTCCTGCGAGCCCCTCAGATGAACATCAACATTGCCACCTGGGGCCGCCTGGTGAGAAGAGCCATACCGACCGTCAGCACCAACTCCTTCAGCCCACAGGCGGCTGAGACTGGGCCCAGCAGCCTGCCTGGTTCACCCACACCCAGCAGGTACTCAAGCACACACACACTCATACATACATGGACGAAGGGTATCCAAATGTAGTTATTAACTCCTACTAAAACTATAAAAAGGACAAGGTGTTAAAAAACAGTGTACCTTTGTCCATACACAGTGATCCGCTGGTGACCAAGCTGGACTTCGACAAGGAGCCCACCCCAGGACCCAAACACTACCCAGCACCCGATGACATCCGAGAACCACTGGTGCAGCACAAGATTCCAGACAAGGAGGAAGTACAGGTATGGTGCTTTAGGAATCACTGGTATGGTCAATATGGCAGCAATGTTTTGATGTAATCAAAGATAGACAATAGAGCCACAGCTCAGCAGTTTGTGAGACTCGTGCATCAAGATAGCCACCGTGCTTTCTGTTTAAAACAAGAAAACATTTCTGTAAAGGCAAAGAGGGATTTTTTCCCTTCCCAATACCTGAACTTTGTGTATCAGCCAATACAGAGTACCAATCCAATACATGTTAAAAATGTAAAAAGATCAATAAATATATAGATATATATACAGACACACATACTCCCCCATACTGCTGTGGCTTGTGAGGAATTTTGGTATCAGTGGATAAAAAGCAGCAAAACATACAAAGAGCACACAAAATACAAAAAATGTATAGTCTGCAGCATTAAGGGTCAAATCCCCACATAAAGTCAGTCCATTCAAACATTTTATGACCATCTTGTATTAAAATGCTGTGTTGCTATAATTTGAAAAAAACAAAAAACTTAAAATAAGAGTGCACCTCACTGGTTGTAATCTGTGGTCATCAGTAGGGCTATACATTCCCATAAGAAACGCTTAGTGGAGTAATATTCCCAGGATTTTTCAACTGACCTATATAGTTTCATATCTCCATTATTGTTGTGTCCAGCAGATGAACACAGTTATGCAGATACAGTTGAGAGACTAAAGCATTTTTTTTTCTGATTATTATTAAAGCATAACAAATGTAACTATCATTTCCCAGTAGTAAATAATAATAATAATAATAATAATAATCTCCTCCTTTATTCACCTTTTCTCTTCCTGCCTTGTGTTCGCTCTCTGCAGGACGCACTCGCCTCGTTTGACTTCTTGAACAAGAGAAACAGCATAGCGGTGAAGCCAGACCTGGACAGAGTAGTGGAGCAGGAGATCCAGCATCCAGACCTGGAGCTCATCGCCATCCAGAAAGACACCGAGATAAGGTTAGGAGCAATGGGCCTGTCTGCTTTGTCTTACTTTTAAAGTGTCAAATACATGTCAAATGAAAGAGAGGTGAAGGGTTTTTATTTGAAAAGTACAGAAAGATTGTAAAAACCCACATTTCGCCTTTCACCATTTTTATTGTTGTAGTTATGGTTCTTGACATCTTTCAAGGTATGTACAGTTGTTATGTCCTGACATGCAAGCATTTAGTGGAGCTGAACTAGTAGCATGGGTGTAAACACTGCCCCCTGGCTTTGAATCTTCTTTTTGAGGTTAACAGGTCTGCTGCACTCTGGTTCTGTATGCAGGTCTCTCTACGTTGTATTCATCATGGATGCTAATGTAAACTCTGATCTTTTTCCAGGGAAGAAGAGCAGTTCCAATTCAGTCTCCAAGACTTTAAATGTGTGGCAGTCCTTGGACGTGGTCACTTTGGAAAGGTAGCTTTCATTTGATTGTCCAACATAGACAGAATAACAAATAATGCAGCTGCAGCTCTGTCATTTTTCACATTTGTCTATAGAAATGCCAGAAAGTAGTAAAAAAAATAGTTAATTATAATTTACCAGAGCTGAAGGTGACATCTTTAAATTAATAATTAATAAGCATTAAATCCTCACATTTCAGAAACTACAACTAGGAAACTGGCATTTGTGCTTGAAGTATTACTTTGTCAATGCTAAAAATAGTTTTCTTGATTGATATATTGACTTATAGCTCTAGTCCAACAGAACAAAGAAGGCAGGATGCTGAAATGTATTTTCCCTCAAGTGTCTCTTTCCTCTGCTTCCCTTCCTCAGGTATTGTTAGCAGAATACAAAAGCACAGGGGAGATGTTTGCTATCAAAGCTCTGAAGAAAGGAGACATTGTGGCTCGTGATGAGGTGGACAGGTAAACCTTTAATGTTTCCGCTCTCAGCAGTGTGCCAAAAATAGTGCAAGGCTGATGATTAGTTACAGGTGCTGATGTGGCATTCCTGTTCTTTGAGTGGACGAGTACAAATTGCTGTTGCCTGTAACTCCGTCTCCTCCTGTCTTTGCCAGTCTGATGTGTGAGAAGAGGATTTTTGAAACGGTCAACAGCGTCCGCCACCCGTTCTTGGTCAACCTGTTTGCGTGTTTCCAGACGCAGGAGCACGTTTGTTTTGTCATGGAGTACGCAGCGGGAGGCGACCTGATGATGCACATCCACGCTGACGTCTTCTCTGAGCCCAGGGCCATGTGAGTGACCAGAGCTTCAACTGTAAACTCTGTACACTCGCACTGTGAATTCATTTGTTGGGGGTCATGTCTCCGGTTTATATTTTCTTTATGGGAATTCTGACAGAACTGGCTTTTACATATTCTATAAAAAACTTCATTTCCTGTCTGAGTTCACTTCCTCGGTATGTAATACTGATATTTGTGAGAGTGAGCTCCTTAGGTGTATTCCTTTTCTGTTTTCTTCATGTTTTCATGTAACCATCTAATCTACTGTGTGTTTCCTGCCGTTGCAGATTTTATGCAGCCTGCGTCGTATTGGGATTACAGTTCTTACATGACCATAAGATTGTGTACAGGTAAGCAGTTTGAGTAATGTTAAGTCATTCAGTTCAGCCCCACCTCTGTTAGGAGTTTTCAAAAATCTTTTTCCTTTTTTTAATTTTCAGAGATTTGAAGCTGGATAACCTGCTCCTGGATACGGAGGGATATGTAAAGATTGCTGACTTTGGCCTTTGCAAAGAAGGTAAAATGTGAATCCACGTTATATCGAAGGCTTCATAGCTAAAGATTAAACAGATTGCAATAGGGTCACTAGATCAATATCATGTAGCTTCAAAATAAAACTACTGAATATCCTCAAACAAGAGTAAGGCAGGAGTGAGCTTGGTCATTAACACAGTCTCTGTCATGCTTTCAGGAATGGGTTTCAGGGACCGCACCAGCACATTTTGTGGCACACCAGAGTTCTTAGCTCCTGAGGTTTTGACTGAAACGTCGTACACTCGAGCTGTGGACTGGTGGGGGCTGGGCGTCCTTATCTTTGAGATGCTGGTTGGGGAGGTGAGTGCCCGTTCCCTCGAGATGTTCACAAACATTCAGTACTTGTAGATCATTCTTGCATAACGTTGTGCCATTTAATTCATGCTGAATGTCAGTGATTCATATTCAGCAGCTTTTTGGCTTTGTCTTCATCTTTCTCCTTTTGGCACGTCTCTTTTCAGTCGCCCTTCCCCGGTGACGATGAGGAGGAGGTGTTTGACAGCATTGTCAACGACGAAGTTCGCTACCCACGGTTCCTCTCGACCGAGGCCATCTCCATCATGAGAAGGGTGTGTAGCTAGACTGACAGCGAAGGGATCGGCCTTAAATGAGTGATTTTATAACTACTGAATAATCAGGCTGCCTGACAAACCCTCATTGTGTCTATACAGACTAGATTTCATCTAGTAATTGTCCACGTGTAATGTATCCATTTAATATTTTTCCTAGGGATGCTCGATATTGGCTTTTCTGCTGATATCCGATATTCCGATAGTGTCCAACTCTCAATTCTCGATACGATATCACCCGATACCGATATCACCGTGCAGCTTTTATACCGCAGAACTGTTAGGTAACAACATATCTCCTATTGTGGAATTAACACATTATGCCTATTTAATGTGATGCCCCACTGGTAGGGCGGCCATTTCCTTCACATCAAAAAGGAGCAGCACTTTGTGTACACGGACACGCAAGCAGATATTTGTTTGGTATGATCCGGTTTTAAATGTTAATGTTTTTCCCACCAGTTACATAAAGGTGCATACACATATCCACATAGCTTATAATAATAAATATACAAGATACGCTCATGCACACCTGCCCTTCCAATCTCAGATTACATAGGTCTAATAAACATCATACAGCAAACTGTTCTTAATGTTTTTATCTGGATAGATAAAGGGTAAAAACATCCAGCACCTTTCTGTTTCAGAT